GAGATTTTGTTTGGATGTGCATTAATAATTTGGTGACCATCATAGTCCAATCAGTCTTAAACAACCATTGGGAGGCTTGCTGTCATACCAAATCAGGGCTATTGGCTCATTACCATGAGCGAGACTTTACACCAGATTAACCTTGAGTGTCCTACCAAACAAAGAAAAAAAATGAATTATTTTAGGATAATGAGAAATGAAATATAAATGAAGCAAAATTGTAATAGGGCCATATAATAACTAGATTGTATATAGAGGGGTCAACACCAGCACCACAGCACCAGACCAAAGCTGATACAGGGTCCTATTTTTTTTTTTTTATAAACTACCAAGTTAACATAAATGTGGTATGTTGGCCCATAAATGTGGTATGTTCCCTTATCAGAAGCTCTGCAGGTGGGTTGGAAATTGAGACTAATTTATGTGTCAAAGTTACTTAGACCCTCTGGCTATGAGTGGGATAGTTCATCTGATAAAATTCCAAACAACAAACTTCAGGCTTTAGAAAATAGTTTCTCCATTAGTAGAAAGGGAAATGATTCAAAGAAAGAGGATGTAGCATGTCTGTGGGAGAAACATCATTACCTGTTCACTTCACAGTTGATTTAATCCACCTGTTATTCCAGTTTGAAGACTAGTCAAGCAAGTTTTAAATTTTCAAGCCAGAGATAATTTTTATTTCTCAGAAGACAATAGATTTTCACAATTAAGTCTTTTATTCCATAAATTATGCTTTTGTTGTTAGGGACAATTGAGTTGATTCCAACTCAGCCACCCCATGATGCTCAACAGAACAAAACCCTGCCCAGTCCTGAGCCCTCCTCACAATTATTGCTGTGTTTGAGCCCATCGTTGCTGCCACTGTGTCAATCCATTTCTTTGAGGCTCTTCTATTTTTTGCTGCTCCTCCACTTTCCCAGTATGATGTCCATCTCCAGGGTCTGGTTTCTCCTGACAGAATGCCCAAAGAACCAGAGGTGAAGTCTCGCTACTAAGGTACATTCTGACTGTATTTCTTCCAATATTGAAAGTACCATGGACTACCAGGAAAAAAAAAAAAAAAAAAAGATTTGTTTGATCTTCATGATAGTTTCAATATTCTTCATCAGCACAATATTTTGAGTGTGTTGATCCTTCTCTTGTCTTCCTTTCCTTATTCAATGTTCAATTTTCACATGCACATGAGGCAACTGAAAATACCATGGTTTAGGCACTTCTTAGTTGTCAAACAGACATTTCAGCTCTTCAACACTTTTTAGAGATCTTTTGCAGTATATTTACTTAATGTCTTACACTCTTTGATTTCTTGGCTGCTGCTTCCATATTTTGACTTACTTTAGCATTTTATTTTTCAATTACATAAAGTTTCATAATTGATATTGTTTTTCATGAAATGATCAGTTTCCTGTAAGCCTTATTCGTGGTTATTTTATCAATTTGATGTTGATTTTTTTCTATTATAATTTATTATTCATTTCTTATGTATCAGAGTAAGTAAAAAAGTATTGCTACTAGGGTTCTGCTGCCAAATGGAAATGAGGGTTTGCCACCTGTCGTTGTTGTATTCAATCTCACAGATGAGGAGAGATCTGATCCAAGCTTTATTAACAGAAAATCAGCCATCTGGAGCAACAGGGGGAATAATCTCTCAAGAATGTCTGTTAAAAAAGCAGGTATATTACCCAAGGTAAATTACATTTGGATGTACACTTAATCTAATTTAACATCAGGATAGTATTTGGAAAAAGAAACAATAAAAAATAATTCTCCTTAATCACCCCACCTTGAGGTAAAAAAACACAATAAGGCAGTAATCCTTCTCAAACATTCTGCCTTTAGGGAAAAAGAGACAATAAGGCAATTATCCTCCTTAAATATTCCACCATTAGGGAAAAAGAAACAATAAGGCAATAATCCCCTCAAACATTCCACCTTTTTAGGGTCACAACTGCTTAGTTCCTGACTTATTTCCTTTTCTGTTTCTAATTTTTCCTCATTTAGTCATTGCTGTTGTTGTTAGGTGTCACTGAATTGGTACCAACTCTTAACAACCTTATGCACAGCAGAACAAAACACTGCCTGATCCTGGGACAACCTCACAATTGTTGCCAGCTTTGAGCCCATTGATGCTGCCACTTCGCCAATCCATCTCACTGGGGGTCTTCCTCTTTTTCTCTGACCCTCCAACCCTACCAAACATGATATCCTTCTTCAGCGACTGGTCCCTCCTGACAATATGTCTGAAGTATGAGAGACGAAGTTTGGCCATCCTGGCCTCCAAGGAGCACTCTAGCTGCACTTCTTCCAAAACGGATCTATTGGTTCTTTTGG